AACAAAAAAGAGTCAATGTCGTTTTGAATTAACAATGTTTCCTAGATTTTTTGACAACGTGACCGTCCCACCTCATTTCTTTCCTCCGCTCACCCAGAAACATCGGAAATTGACTATTAGCTCATTTATGAAGCTTCGTCTACGTAAACTGCTCTACATTTGAAGTTTAAGGGAAAAAAACACCCTAAGTTGACGCGAAATAAAAACCCCTGAACTTCGGAGTTCTCAGTCTACTTGAGTAAGACAATCAAATGTAAAAAAGATAATACAGAATACACCAAGCACCTACAACTGAAGACACTGCAAGATCAAAAACAGATGAAATGAAGCGGGGGCGGCCCCAACCGCGGCGAGTGCAAAGCTCCAAAGCCATTCCGGACTCCTAGGGAGGACGGACCTCCTGCCGGGAGAACAGACAATGCCCTAGTTCCCTAAAGCGCAGGAGGCAGCAAGGGTGGAGATCCGGCACCGCAGACCCCAGGCGGGAGACCTGCGAGAAGGAGAGTAGCGACAGGTCCCCGCGGTTGGACGTGTGGAGCACTCACAGGCGGACAGGAGGGAGCAGGGCTGCGGCTGGAGCGGTGGGGCTCGGGGCTGGACGGCTCCAGCAGAGGCTAGGAGGCGGACGCCGGGAGGGTTTGGGTGGGCGGGGGCAGGGTCCACTCGGAGGGCTCCCGCGGGGCGAGTCTAGGGAGGCTAGGGCGGGGGGACACGGGGAAGAAGGGAGGTGAGCGAGGGGGGATGCGGGGGCCTCGGGGAGCGCGGGGCTGGGCAGGGGCGAGTTCGGCAGGGCTGGGAGGCTCTGGAGGGGCGTGGGCCTGCGGGGGAAGGGGCTGAGGTCTCCCGGACCGGATGGGGACATTCACCTGTGAACGCTCGGGCAGCCGCGCACGAACCAGGCGGCGAGAGCAAGGACGCAGCTCCGGCTCCGAAGCTCCGACCGCCGCACGTCCGGAGACTTGGCCGCCGCCCTGACGTCACACGCGGCGCGCATGCGCGGGCGCGCGGAGCCTGCCGGGAACTGCCGCGGAGGCGGGAGGCGGTGTCGGCGGCGGTGGCGCGGACGTCGGGAAGCTGTCCCTCTTCCCGAGCGCAGGCTTGGTTTTCCACCGCGAAGGCGCTGTGAGCACCGACCCTGGTTTCTAAGGACCACTCTCTATGAAAAGGGCAGGGCTCCTTAGAGAAACGTGACCCAGGCCTGCGTCGCCCGGCGAACCAGAAGTGAGCAAGCGCGGACGCAGGGAAGAACCGGGCCGGTCGGAGGACACTGGGTCAGCCTGAAAGCGCACAATGGCCAAACCTGCTACAACTTGAGGCGCAAAATTAACTACGTAGGATTAAGTTATAACCTAGAGTGTAACATATACTAGCGTCCGAACTGATATAAATAAACGGGGAGAAGGGATAAATCTTCCGGACCGAGGAGCTCTAGCAGCGCCTAATCCGGGGGGCGTGGGCGTTGCCACGCAGCCGGCGTGCGCGGAGCGCAGCGACCTTCGAGTAACCTGACAGTGGAAAGCACCTGACAGACCTGCCTCACCTAGGTGAGCAAGGTTAATGTCAACAGTGATTAGACATGTTGACAGTACCACATTTACCCTTGATATGATGTGAAGAAAAAACCATAACCCAACTCTAAGCAGGAGAAGAACATCAGATAAATCCCAGTTGAGGGACATTCCACAAAATACCTCACCAGTGCTTCTCAAAACTGTCAAGGTCTCAAAAACAAAAACAAGTCTGAGAAACTGTCATATGCAACGTGGTGGTGTTCTGAATGGGATTCTGGAACAGAATAAAGGATGTTAGTGAAAATTTTATAAATTCCAAATAAAATGTTGAGCTTAGATAATAGAAATTTTTAATTTTGACAAAAGTGCTATGGTTATGTTAGATGTTAACATTAGCATGTTAAATTGTGTGAAAGGTGCAACTATCTTTGTAACTTTTCTGTAAATCTAAAATTATTCCAAAATGAAAAGTATATTTTTTAAAAAGGCAATGGAAGAATAAAAAAAGAAATGTTAATTATCTTTACTGCTAAACTTTTAAGATGATTTAAGTCCCTGTGGAGTCTCTGGGGGTGGGGCAGGGGTATTGCCTAGGAAGGGGCTTAAGGGGTGCTAGAAAAGTTCTATATTTTGATGTGATTGTGGATACATGTATGTAAATAAAAATTTATCAAGCTAAACATTTAAGATTTGTTCACATTTTTGGATACATAGTATATCTAAATAAAACAGGGGAAAAAAAAAAAACTCTGGGAAAATCCTGTTGTTATTGGTCTTCAAAATCCCAAACTCCTAGGCCGCGGTGGCTCACGCCTGTAATCCTAGCACTCTGGGAGGCTGAGGCGGCTGGATCGTTCTGAGCTCAGGAGTTCAAGACCAGCCTCAGCAAGAGCAAGACCCCGTCTCTACTAAAAATAGAAAGAAATTGGCCAAACAACTAAAAATAGAAAAAAAATTGGCCGGACATGGTGGCACATGCCTGTAGTCCCAGCTACTCAGGAGGCTGAGGCAGGAGGATACCTTGAGCCCAGGAGTTGGAGGTTGCCGTGAGCTAGGCTGACGCCATGGCACTCGCCCCAGGCAAGAGAGTGAGACTCGGTCTGAAAAAAAAAAAATCCCAAACTCTTCCAATAAGGGCCTCTGTCTTAACCTAGCTCTACTCTGGGGGAAAAAAAGTGCAGAGTGGGGAATCCTATAATGCCTGCAATCTGATCTTTTGCAAGATATTGTGGCTTAGTCAATACAAGAGTTCAGAGACTGGCATCACATGGGATTTTTCCTGGTTCTGCCACTCATGGATGAGCATGGGCAAGTTGCCTGAGATCACTAGGCTTCTTGACTGGCTCTCAGCAAGGCTGTCTGTCTTAGGGACCTTTCAGGGCTTTGATTTGGAATATCCAAAAATATGCTAACATAATTGTCTTTGAGTGATGGGACTGTGTATGACTTTTTTTAACTTTCTACATTTTCCAAATTTTCTATAGTGAATATGCATCACTTAAACAACAGGAAAAAGTAATATTTAGATCCAGTTCAGTTTAAGTAGGTGTTCCAGAAACTGGAGCAGGAAGTATCCCCTATATGTTTTCCAGTTTAGTAAAATTGGCTTTCTGTCCAAGTTTGCAGATATAAAGAGGCCAGGAGGGAGGAGGCCTCTGTGAGTGAGGACACCTGCCTTCCATCCCCACACTGCCTGTCCTGAGTGTGGCCTCTGGTCTGAAACAGAAGGAGACATCGAGCAACAACACAGGAACTCTGTGTCCCTCAGTCACCCCACCTCTGTAGCCCTCAATTTAGTCAACCCAAGTTACCTGCTGCTTAGCCGACTCTGTTTTTTGCCGAGTTACTAGTGTGGCTTTCTGTATTGAAAGAAAGTGATAAGTTCTGGTGGTTAAAAAAGAAACTTCAAATAGGACATGAAGTAAAATACCATGTCTCCCCATTTGGAATGAAAATCTTCCAAGTAATAGGAAGTAATGGACATTCTTTTGTATTTCTAGCTTCCTTTACGTTTTCTAAGTGAATCACAGCTGCTCATGTTCTCGTCCTTACTCCATTTCATTTTTGTTTTTTCTAGACTATCTCAAGAAATTTTTTGTATATATAAAGTAGCAGAGACGACACTTAGGATGGAACAATGTGACTTTAGCTGCCCCACAACCTCCACCAGCACCACCCCAAATAGATGTACAGTCCTAATGAAAACAGAGCACTGGTCAAGCTGACACATAGTCCAGTCCAGGGCTAGGAAACTCTCCCAACCAGCTGGCTGCACCTTTGTTCCTCCTGTAAGGAAGTTCTGGAACTGCTTTTTTTGGGTGGAAAACAATGAGTTTTTGCATTTCTAAATTTGACTTCATTTTGTCCTCAACATCTACTGAGAAGTCCTGGCTCGCTTTAGACAGTTGAATCCATTTCTTTTGAGGAGGGCAGTTGAGGTTTAGTCCACTGTAAACATGAAGCTGCCCATGCACACAAAAATGAGGAAATGAGTTGGGGCACAGCTGGCGCACAGGCAGCCCTGCAGCTGATGTCCCTGTTCACAGGCCTAGTTCTCACCCCTGTCCCTCCCCCAGCTCCTGCTCTGGGTGGCAGCCTTTTCTGCCTATTTCACCCATCCACTTGAAGGTGCCTGCCCTCCCCCAGCCCCAACCACACCTCTGCTCCTGCTTCAGTTTGCTGTCTGCTTATCAGTTATTGAACATCTATCATCTATTTCACAGGAGTCTAAGAAAGGACAAAGTGTGTTCTTGGTCTCCCATTTTGAATCCAGAGCTTCCAATCCCAAATATTTTCTTTTTTTTTTTTTTTTTTTGAGACAGAGTCTCATTCTTTTGCCCGGGCTAGAGTGCCATGGCGTCAGCCTAGCTCACAGCAACCTCAACCTCCTGGGGCAAGCGATCCTTCTGCGTTAGCCCCCCCGGGTAGCTGAGACTACAGGAATGCACCACCATGCCAGGCTAATTTTTTCTATGTATTTTTAGTTGTCCAATTAATTTCTTTCTATTTTTAGTAGAGACAGGGGTCTCGCTCTTGCTCAGGCTGGTCTCGAACTCCTGAGCTCAAACAATCCTCCTGCCTCAGCCTCCCAGAGTGCTAGGATTACAGGCATGAGCCACCACACCTGGCCACTTCATACTCTTTAAACCAGCAATTTTACTTTGAGGCAACTATTCCATAGTTTCATGCTAAACAGAAACTCCAGCCAAAAATTGTTTACAAGGATGTACATTGTGTATTAAAGAAATGGAAATTAAAACAATCATGAGATGCAATTTCAAACTCACCTGACTGGCAAAAATTAAAAAGTTCATAGCAAGTGTGACAAATATCTAGGGATATACTAGGGATAGTATAGCTTGCTACAAATACTTTGTAGAACAATTTGGCACTATCTAATATGTTTTAAGATACAGGTACCTTAGGACCAAGCAATCCCACTTACAGGCGAATACCTTAGACTTAAGGTATTTAAGTCTAAGACTTCAAACTTTTTGACTGTAACTTAAAGTAAATAAGTTTACTTGGTAACACAGTACATAACTGTATTATTCAAGGCTCTCCAGAGCAACAGAACCAATAGGACATACGTAGATATAACAAAGAGATTTATTATGGAATTGGCTCATGTCATTATCAAGACTGAGAAATCTCACTACCTGCTGTCTGCAAGATAGAGAACCAGGAAAGCTGGTGGTGTAGTTCCAGTGCAAACCCAAAGGCTTGAGAACCAGGGGAGCCGATGATGTAAGTTGTAGTCCAAGTCTGAAGGCTCAAGAACCAGGAGCATTGATGACTGAGGGCACGAGAAGGATGTCCCAGCTCAAGCAGAGAGAGTGAATTCACTCTTCTTCCGCCTTTTGTTCTATTAGGGCCCTCAATGGATTGAACTATGCCCACCCACATTGGTGAAGGCAATCTTCTTATTCTACTGATCCCAATGCTCATCTCTTGTAGAAACATTCTCAAAGACACACTCAGAAATAATGTTTTACCAGCTATCTGCGCATCCCTTAGCCCAATCAAGTTGACACATAAAATTAACCATCACAATAATATATACATAAAAAACAAATATTATTTTAAAAATATATAATAGGCCAGGCGTGGTGGCTCATGCCTGTAATCCTAGCACTTTGGAAGGCCAAGGCAGGAGGATTGCTTGAACCCAGGAGTTGGATATCAGCCTGGGCAAGAGAGCAAGACCCCATCTCTACAGAAAATAAAACCAAACCAAACAAAACACCAAAAACATTAGCTGGGGGCAGTGGCTTGCACCTGTAGTCCCAGACTCAGGAGGCTGAGACAGCAGGATGGCTCAAGCTCAGGAGTTTGAGGTTGCAGTGAGCTATGATCAGGCCGCTGCACTCTAGTCCAGCCTGGGGAACAGAGTGAGACATGATCTCAAGGAAAAAAAAAACGAAAAACCTATAACAAAATGATACTTACTCTGTGACATGCACTCTATTTTCTTATTTTGCATTCTAGTTTCTAGTTCATTTTTTAAATGCATACAATGATTCCCTAGATTGATGTCATTACCTGGGACTGGTGGATGAGTTGCCACTCAAGAGAGAGCTGCTCTGATTTTCTATTGCTACACAACAAACTACCCCAAAATTAATGGCTTAAAACAACGATTTATCATTAATATGTTTTATAGTTCTCTGGGTTAGCTTGACATGAAAATTGACTGATATTTTCCTTCAACTAGTAAGATTAAAGTGAAATAACGATGGTGGAACTTCACTTGTCTGTCAATTAGCATCTTCTTTTTGAATTGGGTAATAGCTTTTTGAATATTAAAATAATATTTCCTAAATTTTTTGTGCTATTCATGTGAAGGCTACAGATGCTGCCCACTTTTAAGTTTAATCTGTATTATCAATATTTTCTCCATTACATTCTTAAGTCTAGAAAAATCAATGAACAATAAATCAAGGCCCGATTAGTATTATTTGATAGTTTCATGGGATAAATATTCCTGCCATGGAAATCACAATTTCAGGTTTCCAGCATGGTGTTGCTGAAGGGTGGTGAGAAGAGAAGGCAGCAGCACAGTGCTGTACGGCATGTCCGCAGGCAGGTGTAGCAGACACAAGAATCTTAAGAGAGATAATAATAAAATAATTAGGAAGAGATGGGTTTTGAGCATATATTCCCTTTGTTTTTAATACTGTTTACGCAATATAATTTTTTGTAATGGCTGCACTTGACAAATGGCTTACAAAAGTCCTGAAAATTTGTCCTTTGGCTTTCACAAGTGGC